AGTTTTGTTTGTTCGTTTCGTTCTTTCTTTTTTTTTGTTTTGTCTTACGTTTGTCATTATATATATATATATATATATATATGTATCGGCCGCCGAAACTTCTCCTATCTGCATCCCTCAATCTGAAGAATTCCTTTTTTTTCTTTTAAAAGGGAAGGGGAGGTGTCCTTCTTCCCAACCCTTTCATCCTCAGAGTCCCCTCTCCTTCTCTTCGCCCACAGCACCCTCTACGCGGGGTTTGCCCTCCAGCGGCAGTATTCACGTGAACACACACCCGCCCCCCGCCACGCAACGACACGTGCTCAGCTGATGGTGAGGAAGGGATGCAGCAGCAACTCCTCGCAGCGCGGCCGGTCTTCCGGACGAATATGCAGGCAAAGAGAAAGAAAACTCTCCAGGGCAACAAACAAACGCATGCGTCGGTGGTGTTCAGCGTAACCTGGCATCTCGGCCAAATGTACATGCGCGGCATCCGCCTCAACTTCAGCTGTATCCCCACCTTCCCGGCTTTCCAGGCGGCGACGCTTCAGTAACTCCACCTCCTCGGTGGGGCACGGGCCCAACCTCGCCACCGCTAGGCGTTCATCCTCGTGTGCCAACCAGCACCGTGCCTCCTCTGCCGCCTGCATGACGTTTGGCGGCAGAGGTAGATCTTCACGGGAGGAACCAACACGAAAGAGGACTCTCAGTTTATCCTTCGCTAAATGTCTCCATGGTGCGGCACCTGTCGCAAGCTCCATCACTACACATCCAAGCGACCACACATCCCCGGCAGTGCCAAGACAAGAGCGTTCAAAACGAATCATCTCGGGGGCCATGTACACAGCCGTCCCACGAAGCCCGGTGATAGTATCATCATCAACAACAAGGTGCAGGGAAGCTGCCGCCTCCTCGAGGATTTCCCTGGATTGAACTCCAGCAGCTACATCCGTGTACCCCTTCGAATCTTCATGGACCATACCCTCTTTGTGTCCTGGTGCTTCGCAAGGCTCAGATTCTGCCACACTTCGCCGCAGACGCGTGGAGCATCCAAAGTCTGCAAGCCTCGCGTCTCTCGCCTCGGTGACGAGAATGTTCCCCGTCTTGACGTCCCAGTGGGCGTACCCGTGAAAATGGAGAAAGTGCAAAGCCTCAACAGTCTGCCGCGCAAAACGTTGCACCTCTTCTATAGGGAGAGGCAGTATTTCAGGCTGCACAGGCTTCCTCGGGGGCGGGGCGGTCGCGGTGTTAAAGGAAACCCGCGTCGGCAAGGAGGACAAGAGTGAACCTCCGTCACTATTTCCCCAAATAGTCTTCTTCCGCCCTTGTTCCTCATCTTGCGAGGCAGTTTTGGCCGCAAACGATGGTGTGTCCACCTGCTCAGCTGCCCCCTTGAGGCTGGGTGAAGAAGCTGTGGACATCGCCAAGGGAGTTGTCAAGGGCGATGGAGTCCTGTTTGAAAGCATGTAGTCCAGCAGTGAACCACGTGGGCAGTACTCTAAATACATAAGAACAGAATGACCTCGCTTCTCTGCACCATGAAAGCCGACGATCCAGGGCATGCCGTGACGGGTTGCAAGGGTTAACACTTCCAATTCTATCTCCAACTGTTTTAGCTTAAATTGCAACTTTGGTTCTTTTGCATCAAATACGAGCTGCTTGGCTGCGAGCACCTCACCTGTTTCAGTGTTCAGGCACTCATACACTTTCCCACAACATCCACCACCCAAAAAGGCACCAATGCGAAACTCACCTCTGCTTCCTGCGACCCCTTGCAAGTGGGGTCCTGCGGACAGCTCCAAGGGTGGTAGCGGAGCCACAAGGCGACCAGCATTGACCTTTGAATTGCGGTGGCCAGTGGGCACAGGCGGGCGTCTACTGGTGTCGAGTCTAACATCCTGTAAAGACAGAGGAGTTAGTCGAGATGATGCTACAGAACCCGTTAATATTGTGCTGCTCGGTGTGGCGACTGTACTTCGTGAGGGAAATCTTAACGGTGGCAAGGTGTTAGTATCAATGGTTCGCGAGGTCCCGTGGGCATCGTGGTACGTCAACGACAAGGAGTAAGAGGCGGCACCATTGCCGTGGGGACGCACAAAGACGTCATCCACCCGACGATCATTTTCCTGGGAAGTTGTGGCGGGCGGGCGATCCACTGCAGCTGTGAATACCTGTGTTCGTTGTTGATGCAACAGAGACGAGGCGTCCCCCTGTAGCGGAGAAAAGGCATCAGCTCTATCCGGAGAGCATCTTCTCGCGTCGGGCTCTCCATCATGATAACTCCCTGCTGCTGGCAAACCTGCTGCAGCCTCAACATCGTGGCAGGTTGCGGGAATTTTTGCCTCGCAACGCCCCACGGAGCCGCGCATCTGTTGCTCGAGCCGTGTTTCCAGGCTGCGTAGCTGTGCCTCAAGCTGCACTGGTCTGGCAACGCTGCCTGGCACCTCTGTAATCACGCACTCCTCGTTGTGTTCCTCGGCGTATTCAGAAGAGGCACGAAAAAAACTATCGGCAGAAACAAGCTTACCGGCATCCTCATCCTCCATCTCCAACACACATGAATCTGCCACGGTGGGCGCATCTGTCGCTGTGCTTGCCGTCCGCCCGTCGAGGGAGACAGAAACAGACCCCGACAAGTACTGTCGTTGTGTGCCATCCGCCAAGTTAGCGGCTCTGCTGGAATTCGCGTGCTGCAGCCGAGCTACCGCGGTTGCACCGACCAAGTGTGAAAGAGCTCGTTGCAACTTTCCTCCCGAGACCTCTGTCTCTCCAAATTTCCCCTTCCAATCATAACCACTTCGCCCTGCTTTGCATCTATTGGTACACCCAAGAAAAATGTCAGAGGAGCAGCCAGGCACACATCCAATGGAAGGAGTGGCTGCCGAATTGAACGCCTCCGCCACAGTGCCCTCTCTCCCCGCCTCAAGGGTTCCACTCAACGTGAGGGAGGCCACGGGATTCCAGTTAGCCTTGCCAAGATGCGAGTTCCCCGTCGCATCACTAGGCACCGCATCAGTTGCATGAGATGTGCCACTTGAAAAATGAGCTGTGGGCGTATCAGCGCCGCTGCTGTTGCTAGCACACTTGCTAAGGCTTCGGTAAAACGGATAGATGTTAACAGCCTCTGCAGAACCACTGGATACTGGCGGTGCTTGCATCGGTGCAGTGGCTTCACAGAATTCATCGGCGGTGGTGCAGCCGTGCTGGCAGTGTGCAGAATGCTTGCATTGCTGAGGAGAAGAAAGCTGAATCGAAGATGTGGAGTGCAAAGAGAGATGCTGCTGCTGCTGGCAGACGCGCCTAGACGGTGAGAACAAGCTCAGTTGATCCGCATCACTGTGCAGAGCCTCATCGACTTCCGCCACTGTATCCAGTAACACATCCGCTTCCTCCTCCCTGCCGGTAGACCACGGCGTCCGGGTGAACGTATAAACGGAGGCCAACGCCACCGGATGTGGATTGCTTTTGCTGAAGCTGTTCTTTTCACGGGTCCTGCCATGCCTAAAGAAAGTGGGGGCCCCCTTCCAACGCGGAGAGCCTGCTGATATATACACGGCGAGTACGCCAGCCAGCACCGAAACGCCAAAAGCGAGTGGAACTATCGGGTAGTCTGCAGAAAGTCGCCCGATGGCGGCACATGTGAGACCCATGTAGAAACGGTATGGCAGGTGGCCCTCACTGTTGTTCATTGGCACCGCCAGCAGGAAATAATCCAAACTACGCAACACACACACACACAAGTGAGGTTCTCGCCTTTAATTCCCCTTTTTGTTGGTTCTGTGCCTCAATGTATGTTTCCTCCCTTTCTCTGGCCAGGAGCCTTTCGTTTTCAACGCTGCGAGTGACACTCTCGTTGCTCCCTGTGTCTCCGTTGCTTCCTATCCTGCCCAAATCGCTGCTGTGGCGGTTCGCTATGTTTTTTTTTTTTACGTGCTCGTTTGCTTGCCCCCACCGCAGCGCTCACAATTCGCCCTGCACTTTTTTCTACTATTGTCCCTGCCGCTATATCCCTATCACTTCCAGACGCGCACGCGCGCGACCAGGTTTCCTAACTGAAGATGCAAAAAAGATGTGTGTAATGCCACGCCGCACCGCACTGCGCCCTTGTCGTTCCTCCAACTCTGCACCACTCACGAGCGCAGTGCCGCCGTAAATTCGCCACCTGCCGCGCTTTATCCCTCCTCTTCCGCTGCGCCGTGTTTTGCTGCTGCCACAACGGCCCCGCGCCCGTGGCCTGTCGTCGTCTCCCTCGCCGTCTTCCTCACGTACGAGTACAACACGGCTGCCCTCAAGTACACCCACACACACGCAAAGGCAACAAAAAAAAAAAAACTTTTCCTCAGCCACCAGAATGCCAAAAAGCAAGAGATGGGCGTGTAAAGTGACGCCCGCGAATAGAGGTAAAAATAAAACACAAGGTGTGCGTGTGTATGTGTGGGTGGGTGGGTAGGTCGGTGTGCGGATATTCACAGCGACAACACCCAACAGAAGCAAAGTCCTAATGTATAAGCGGCCACTACGAGAAGAGCCTTCAGTTGCGGTGGGGCGTTTAATTATTATTATTTTGATGAAGCGAGCGGTGTGAAAGCAGTACAAACAACGCAGGCAATAAGAGAGACGAAGAAAAAGAAGAAGGCAAAGGGAAAAATAAATCTCGGGGCGCAATCTCAGGCAGTGGGGGTGCAGCAGCAAGATGCAAAGAAGTGGGGGAGAAACCCGCTCGTATAATGAAAGGCGGAAAACAAAGTAGCAAGGCAAAGAAAAAAAAGAAGCATAAAAAAGAAAAGTGAAGAGTCACATCAGCGGCACACCTCCTCGTACTTCTTCACCGCACCTTATTCGTCGTCGTCACCGCCGGCAGCAGTCTTCTTGGCCGCCTTCCTCTTCACCCGCTTCACGCGTCCCGCGCGGCCGTTGCCGAACGGTGAGGCATCAGCGAAGGCAATGTGGTGCTCAGAGCTCACGCGGACGATGAACGACGGGATTGTCACAATCTGCTTGGCCACAGCAATGTGGCGCTGCAGAATGAGAACACGGGCGTGGTGCACGGACTTGGCAAGGCCGTGCTTGAACACCACGGTCTGCAGTCGACGCTCCAGAATGTCGGGGACGGTGAGGGAAAGAACGTAATCGAGTTTGTCCTTCTCCTCCTCAAGGAAGCCGTAGTCGTGGCAGCGGCGCATGATGGCGGAACCCTCCAGCTGACGGCGCGGGTGGTTCTCAGGCAGCGTCAGCAGCAGACGGGCCGTACGGCGCATCTTGGAAAGCGTCATGTTCACACGCCAAATCTCACGCTTGCATCGCAGGCCGTACTGGCCGCACAGCTTCATCTCTCGGTCGAGGCGTTCCTTCTCGAACGGGCGGCGCGGCGCCTTCCAGACACGATTGAAGTTGTTGTAGTTGCGCATGGTGCTGGATGCTGGGCTAACACTCCTCCTGCGGTTGTGAGTTGGGGGCGGGGGTGTTTGCGCAAAAGCAAAGCAGGGCAAAACAAAAAAAAGCGGGGTGGGGGCGGGTGAACGGAGAGAAGTAGCGAAGAGGGGCGTGCATTTGTAAAGTAGAGCAAAAACAAGCAAGCAAAAAAAAAAAGATGAGACAACAAAATCTTCTGAGCCCATCAGGCGATGGTCGAGTGATGTAGTAACTCTTTTTTTTTTATTTTCTTTTTTGAAACTACGTCCATGCATGGACCCGCTTCTTTGCTTCTTCACTTTTTTTTCTTTGCGGTTTTCTTTTTCCGTTTGTCTACTCATTGATGCCTCAGTGAAGAGAAAAAAAAAAAGGAGTGCAGAGAAAAAGCGACTGTGGAAGTCTCCCCCGCACGCCTGCTGCCAATGGCCCATGGCAACGACGAACACCTCCACACGCTTAACGAGAGGGAGCAACACATGCCCGTGCCTCCGCATCGCTATTCCTACATCTTCCCTCCTCGCCTCCTGTGGATTCCCGTGTCGCCTCTCCATAACACTACCTTCGAATAAACTTCACGTAAAAGAGAGCACAATCCATCAGCATCAGCACCAGCAGCACAAGCCCCTTCACCGCCCACTCCTTGTACACCCCCATGCGGATGTTGCGAATCGTCCTGCGGGCACCGCTCAACTCACCCAGTGTCTCCTCAACACCCGTCACGGCGCGGCCAATGGTTTCTTTTTGCCGTCCCAGCTGCTGCAGTGTTGCGTAGCCCGTCTCATTTGTCGTCTCACTCACCCGCAGCGCCCGTAGCAAGTTCTCATTGGTGTCCTCGGCTAACTGTTTGCTGCGCAGGACTGTTACACGTTCATCAACGTCAGCCGCACCACTCCGGTCACCGCCCGCGACGCTGCTCCTCATTTTGTCGACGACGCGGTCCTCCCGCGCCCCCGGCTCCCAGCCCCCGCGCTGCATCCTCCTGCCCCCCTTTTTCCTTGACTCTGAATGTCTGCTACCACCGCCCCCCTCCTCCCTCTCCGCACGGCAACGCGACGGCAAACGCAAAAGAAAGAGAAACAAAAACAAAGAAACGGCAGCAAGAAGAGACGTACATGCAACGGAGAGCAACGGGCAGGGATAACGCACTGGCACATACACTGCGAAAGGAAAGGAAGGAAATGAATAAGCTGTGGCCATACGCACAGTAAATTGCAAATGAGACTCCCGTCTGAAAATGTAAACTTCAACCCCACAGATGTGCGGGGTGAAACAAGGCGGCGCCCACAACGGCAATAATCTGAAGAAGCTAACAGGCAGTAGCAGAAACAACAACGACTTTAAAAATAAAAAAGACAAAGGCATATATATATATATATATATATAATAAACAAAGAGAATTAGCAAAAGAGCTAAGAGACAGTACTAGTACAAATTCTGTTGCCTTACTTCTGCATGGTGCCTAACAAACAAAAACGTCAAAGGAGCCACACACAAACACACACACACATACAATCAGAGAGAAAGAGAGATCACCATGGAGAAGAAGTTGAAAAAAGGCACACAAATTTCGTGCCCACACGCACCTCTCCCTAGTCTGATTTTGGTTTTGGTGTTCCTTCTCGTTTCTCTTTTTTGGCGCTTCCAAATTAGTAACGTCACTGCTGCCCATCCCCACCCCCACCCCCCACCCCACATCGCCACAACGACGGTTTGCTTCTCCCCAACTCCCCCCACGCAGAAAAACAACCAACTGTTACACAAGGGGCGGGGAACAGGACATGAAGATTGAATAACAGGAGAAAACACCGCGGGTAGGCATGCTGACACAAACAAAACGGAGGACACATGCAACCACGCAAAGGCAGGCAGAAGCGTATGAGTGGGCAGCAAACAAAGAGGGCTCCATGTTTCTTGGACTTACACATGTGCATACATCTGTTATTCCCCTCAGCCCAGTTTTTTTTTTTTTCTGCCTTGACGGGAATAGATCGCCTCCGCTTTTTATAAAGTTTTCCCCTAAAACTTCTTGGCCACAGCTGGAGACCTCTATCTCCCTGACTCACCCACACAAATAAGGAGTTTCCACACGAAGAAGTTGCATGTGCATGAGAGAAAGAGAAACAAAACCAAACGGGTACATTACATACAAAAAGGGTCGCCACGGGCAGTGACATACATGCGCACCATGCAGGGGAAACACACACAATAAAAGTAATATATATATATATATATATATATATCATTTGCGTTTCGGTGATGCATCGGTGGTCTCAAGTTGCGCCGAGAGTGACGGCCTTTCCAAAGCGCCACGCAGGGTTGGAAGCCTAGATGGAGACCCGAGCTTGCTCTGCGCAGGGCTTTCTCCTCCCTTTCGCGACGGTAGTGTTGCCGATGTCATCTTTGGCTCCCCAGTTTGTGGGAAGGAATGCGGCAAACTAAGCAAGTGGCCTTGCAGTACCGGGTACTTGGCCAGGACACGGCGAGATTGAGCATCATCGTTGGCAGTACCCCAGGCGGGCGCAGAGGTTTTGAGTAGTTTGGAAGAGAAAGATAAGGGGTCTGTATGCACTTTATCTGTTTGTCGCCTCCATGGCGTCCTCACACCCGCACCACAGTAAGCTTCGGCATGGACAAAGGGGACAGAAGCAGGTAAAGAGGAAGAAGTCGACGCTAAAGCAAGCGCAGGTGCCATTGTGGGAGCAGCATCAGTGTGGGTTACAACACCGACAGCAGTTTTGGGCAACTTGGTACCATCGTGGCCGCAGACTTCCTCTCTCGCTTCTGGTGTAACTGCTGACACCGTCTCCGGCGCACCCTCCGTCGTCGCAGACGTTGACGGCACGCTCTTCAACATGGACGATTGCGCCAACTTGGATTTGTTCAACGCGAGCAGCTGCAGTTGGTTGGTAGCGAGCGGACAGGTAAGCCCGATACCACGCTCTACGGAGCGGGATGAGGGCGTGCAGTTCACGGCCGTACCCTCCATCGCCCGTGTCTGTGCCGCGGAGGCGCACAACAGCTCCTGAAGCGCTCGCAACAACGTTTTGCTGCCGTCAAAGCGGGAGCTAAACGACTCCACCGTCAACCCATCCAACACCTCTGCGTAGGGCCATGCACGAAGGTCTTCGAGGAAAGTATCCAGGTCACTGCGTCTGCAGCCTGTAAAGCTGAGGCAGGACCAAGTGTCCGCAATCCACGTTGCCTTGAAGCTGCCCATGTCGCCGCTGCCCTCACGCTTCCAATTCCCTCCCATAAACGTGACTGAAAAAAAAGTTACAAACTCCTTCATCGTGATATGCAACACATCTGACGCGTCTTCGCTGTCTGGCACTGTCGTCAGTTCATCAGAGGTTGCGATCAGCAGCGACAAATTATGCGGCTCATAGCGGGTGCCCGAAAAGATATCGCGTGAATGCGTCATCGTCAATCGCTTTCCACCACTACGTATAGTGCTAAAAATACGCTTTGCCTGCGTCTCAGTGAGTGGTTCACGCATGTGTCGGCCAATGAGTTGCACGGCAACATTCAGTTGATCAAAGGTAAGTTTTCCATCGTTGGTGCTGTTAAGGTTTCGAAAGCTTTGCTGCAAGGACGTCAGTAAACCGTAGTTAAACCCCTCATGAAGACGCAGCAACGCAGGATACAGCCAAAGAGCATCAGTGATGTCCTCTTCCATGCTGCTCCGCGACTGTTGATGCGAAACATGGTCCAGCGTCCGGCAAAAGTTGATCACAGCTGCATCGGTGTTATCCGATGTACAGGGCAGGACTTGTGAAGAAAGAAACAAGCTTGCCCCCATCTTTGGCTCGGCATGCTGCTCCTTCCCGGCGGTAGCAGTGGTGGAAGCAGCGGGATTTGCGTCCTGCTTCCGCTCGCCGTGGCCCTCTCTGAATGACGCCTTGGCGGATGAAGCCGAGCTCGTCACAGCAGTCTCGGTCTTCTCCGGTGGCTCGTTATCCTCGTCATCCCGCAAAGTAAGCCCAGCGTCCGCGTCACGCGTGCTACCCGTCCCCAGCATCACAATCTCCTCTTCCTCAACCAGCGTCGCCTCCACAAGGTCAACAAGGCTGCCCAGCACCACATGCCCACACTCTTCCTGGTCGAGGTACTGGAACAAGGCATACGCAACGTCGTCCTCCAGCGTGGCCGCCACGTGCGAGAGAGAGCGCAGGATGGAGACAAAAACATTGAAGTCAACCTTTAAAAAGCGCCACGGCTTAGAAGCGCTCATGCAAGACAATGACTGCGCCGCATCCGACTCCTGGCTCTTCCTCGTTGATGACTTGGTCCTAGAAAACCCGTGTCTCGCCTCAGATGAAATCGGGCCGCTTTTGTTGCCTGCTACGCCCAACGGCTGGCACTGACCGTGCGCCGGCAACGAGGCCGCCGTCACCTCCAAGACATCGGCGCTGTCAAGGCGGCTAAGCAGATCATCCGGCAGGTCCATATCGCCAAAGACACGACGCACAATCGCCACCTGAAACGGCAGCAAGTACTGTGACGAAAAACGGACATCGAACCTCCGCAGGAAGGAAACATACCGCACGCATGGCACCTCGCTTGGTTCCCCTTGCGGCGCCACAAACTTGCAGAGATAATACCACGGAATATCAATTTCCAGGACACTGCGCATGACCTCACACCATTCTATCTTGTAGATGATCCCTGTTTGATTGTAGTCGGCCGCAACAAACCCAGACAATAGGCTGTACCGCTTACGAAAGATAATCTCGCCTAGCTGCATAAACAGATTCAGGCGGGGGACCAACGCTCCTTCCACAGATGAGGAATACGTCGTACTCGAGTCTGCTCCAGTATCCTCCTTATCCCTCCCCGCGACGTCCCCTATCATGTGGGCAACCTCATCTCCGCCTGCAACAGCGTTATCATTCGCTTCTGCCTTGTTTACATCCTCGGCCTCCCCCCCGCCTCCCGTTTCCTCGTCGTCCTTGTTGTTATCCCTCTTGCCCCCTTCACATGTCATGATTTCATCCAGAAGCTCTTTTGTCGCTAAGTCCTCACTCTCGTCGCTGCGCACATACCATGTGTGAAAAACAGGGTGCAATGACCCCTTAGGAAACACCGCAAGCGCTGCCCGGTTGCTCGAGACGCCGCAATAGTTAGACGCACTGAACACAGTACAGCACTTACCATTGTGAACGAGTTCAAACCCCGCCTGCACCTCCTCGTGCGAACGAACCACAAGCCGAAGGTTGTTGAGTCGAAGAAACTCTTCCGTGATGGGTGCAAGGTACTCCACCCCACATCCACGCTTGCTTGTGCGCCAGTGCTGAGCTCGGTGTCGCATACCCAACTGCCGCGAGTGAAACTTTTCCACCGGGTCGTTCCAGAGAATATCCATCATGATCTGCTCATCCTCGCCGATGCTCCCTGATGTGGGAATGTCTCGCATGCGACCCAGCGACTCAATGCGATCCAGCGTTACTGGAGCGCGTGGCAACCCACCATGTGCAATGAGAATCATCCCGTCGAGAACAGTCATCAGCGGCATCGACTGGTAGCTGTCAGCGAGGGCCTCCAGAAGCTGCTCTGCGTGCTCAATACCGTACTTGCCGTATATCTCCACCTCAAATCCGTACTCCGCGTTGACGCGGGCGTCCTCGTGATTCCCACGGTTGATGAACACAAACGATGGAAAAGTACACAAAAGCGTAAAAATGTACAGCAGCACCCCCATCCCGTTTGACCCACGATCCACAAAGTCGCCGTTAAAAACCAGGTAGCGCTGCGGGTTCGGCAGTCCGCCGGCGAGGACAATGGCCTCACAGAGGTCCTTCATTTGCCCGTGCAGGTCCCCAATAACCACCACATCACCCCCCTCAGGAATCGTCACACGCTGCACAAGCGGGCGCTCGGCCAGAATGCTAGTGGTCATGGATATAATTTGCTTCGCCATTTCAAACTCCACCACCCCCCCAGACGTGATCGTCTTGGCCAACGCCTCAAACATTGAGACGTGGACGCACCCCCCCATGAAAGCCGTGTAATTAGTAAGACAAGGCGACGACGCTTTTGGGTGATCCCGCGGAATGGCAATGTGCTCCTGTGTCACCTGCCTCTCGCGGTACAATTCCACCGCATGCCAAAACGATTTAAACAAAACATCCTGAAATCTATTCCGCAAAAAGGCGTTGCGCCAACTGTTCTGAATGCAGATGAGTCGATCCTTCAAATGAGGAGAAAGAGACAACGGTCGCTTCAGATACGGTGGGGCGCCCGCAAATGATGGCATGAGGAAGGAACGAAGCGACAGTGTCGCATTGCTCCCCAAGAACGCCAGATTATCACGCATCACTTCGGCACTCGCCTGTTTCCTGCAGGCCCGCTCCGCATCCACCTTCAGCTTGAACGGGCACATATCCCGCAGGCGTGGCACCACCATCTCCCCACAGTAGACGCAGCTTTCCAGCTTACAGTTTTGCTTGTGCTGACGCATGCGGGAGGCCTCCACGCGCACGTTACATCGCATGCACTTCACCCACTTTCCCACCTCAGAGCAAGTCTCCAGGTGAGCCGCGTACTCGGAGGCAGGAATCATCATTTCACACCACTTGTTTTCGCACGTGACGAATCCACAGCCGTCCCGGTTATATTCATTGATGAGCTCGACAAGGCACGAAAATGGATCCTCCGGCTGCCGCTGTGCTACAACGCCGAGCCACTCGTCTACCAGCAGTCGCAGCCTGTAGCGGGAGAGGTAACTCTCAAGAGAGTCACCAACGACAGCATCCATTGTTTCTGCCACACTTCCACCATGAAGTAGAAGAAACGGAGAGATGGAGAGGCAAAGAAAGTGGCAGTGAGCGGCAGGCACAAAAAAAAAAACGCAACAAACAAACAAAAAGACATCAATAAACACATCCTGCACGGCCAAACGGTCCTCCCATCCTGCTTCCTGTTGGCTCCAGGACGCCCCAACAACAACAAAGAGTAAACCCCCTCTAGAGGAGGGCGCAAGCACACACACACACACACACACAGGCAAAAACAAGAACAAAAAAAGAAAAGGAAGGAAGTAAAAGAAGGCGTTGTCCCCATTGCTCGCGTTTGCATCTTCGTTTACTCTCAACTACCCTCTTCTTTCGGATGTATAAATGCACGCGCACAGAGGCATCACGCCTGCGCCGGTGTTAGCGGCAGCAGTACCTACACGACAGCCGCGATTTCCCCACAGCGGCATCCATATCCGCCTCTGATTCATCTTTCTGCCGCCATCAGGCAGAAACTATTTTTAACATGCGGTCAATAAAGCCTTTTGTTTTTGTTTTCTTCTACTTGCTTTGTTGTTGTTGTTGTTATTTTGTTTAGTGGTTGCCGCAATGTCCACAGCAGGGGCAGAAATTCAGCAATTGATTTTCTCGCGTGGTGGCTGCATCCCACGGCTCCTCCGCGCCGTCCAAAAGACTCTTCAGTGGGACTGCCTCAAAAGACACGCCGACGCCAATCGCGGATGCGATGGTCTGCAGTACTTGCGGCTTCTGCGCAAGCTGCTGTTGCGCGTGATGATCACCGGCAAAGAAGCGGACGCCGTTGCGGGCCACAGTCTCCTTGTGCGCCTCCCGCTGCGTCTCCATGCCTCTAGGCGCGTGTGTTGAGGTACAGAGGCAGTCCAGCGTCTCCTGCAACTGCGTGACACTCGCCCCGATAAAACACACCCCAACAGCAGGAGGCGCACCGTCGCCTGCCGCCTGCGTGAAGCTCCTTACAAGCAGGGCAATGTGTTCACCGATGAAATCCAGCCCCTCCTGCACCAGAGGACTGCAGCTCCCCTCTATAGATACGTCACACATGTAAGGAAGTCGCACCACGACATGCGATGCGTGGGTGAGTGCTCCCTGCATAGACGCATACCCCGCCAACCACGCCACTTCAACCGCAATCCTAGTGGCTGCATCTGGCAGTGGCAGATCTGAAACGTCCAACACCACCACCACCAACTCCGCCGTAGACATGCTGTGAGCAGCAGGCGGCAGCTCGCCCTCCAGGAAGTGGTGTGTAACAACCACCGCCATTTTATCCCCACCGCGTGTCGTTAGTCGCGTAAACCCCTCAATCTCTTCTGTTGGATTACTACCAAAAGGAGTGAGCAGAGCCGCCGTAAGCTGCGGGTTAGGGAAGAGGCGCAGCTCATCGTAGACGATGTCGTACACGTTCCACAACTCCTTCCACACCATCTGTCGCAGATGTCGACTCAGCTCAGCATCCGCCGCCGCGCCGGGGATTTTAATGTCCACCTGGAAATGTGGGTAGAGCAATGACCGCTCAACGCCGCCCACGAAGTAGACGCCCGACGGGGGGCGCGCGTTTGTCTGGCGAAACCCGCGCAGGTACACAAGCGTCGCCTGCGAGTTCTCCGGCGAGGCGCCATTGCCACGGACACGCAGCAGCATCCCTCTCCTGGCCTCCTCTCCCTTCCAGCTACCTGAGGACCTCCGTGGGCGCGAATGGGCGTGTTGCCGGGAGGTGAAAGATCTGAGAAGGCACACAAAGCGAAGCAAACAGACAAACAAAAAAAAACACGCCGGTGAAGCCTCAAAAGAACAGGAGCAGAAAGTGCAGAAGCTGCAGTGTGGCCCCACCACCGGCACATACACGCACGTAAACGCCGTCCATACGCGTGCATGACGGCAACAACAAAAAAAAAACGGATGGGGAAGAGAAACCCAAAAACAAGAAACACTCGTGCCCGTAGGCAGGAACAAGTGAGTGGGTGCGTGACAGCACGCGTCTATTTCTACCACTGTCACTCCCACCGCCCTCTATTGACTTGGCTAAAGGTAAACATTAGGGAGAGAGAGAAAGGAAGAGGGAGAGGCCGACAAAAAAAAAATCTAATTGTCCTTTTTTTTATTTGCTTTTCCCCGTTTACTCCCCCCTTCTCTCGCACATACACACACCCTCATGTTTTGTTTGCATCTAACTGTGAAAAGTAACCATTCATGAACAGCGAATACAACGGAACAATCCAAAAAGACAAAAAAAAAAACCGAAGGAAATAAAGCAGCGGCACTCTACCGGTTCGTCGCATCGCCCAGTAGAAGAACGTCACGCTTCGTGCCGCCTAGCTTCTTTCCTGCGGCGTACGAGTACGCCCGGTGCGGCCTCGTGGGGGTGGAACCAACGCCGCCAGCTACAGCATCATCACCTGCCACCAAGGACTGCGATACGGCTCTTGAGGCTGGCGCAGATTTATAATGTGGGGCAGAAACATTTTGGTAAACGCCGTTAATACTGGTGGTGTTCGTGTTGTTGCCAGCCTGCGTCTTCGCGTCGTTCAACGAATAACTGTCAGCCGTGGCGTTTGAGTTCTTCAGGCATGAACGCAGCTGCCGAGTCGGGATACTAGTAGATGCGTTCGCTGCAATGAACTGCTGCTCCTTGTAGTTGGCATCCGCCGTCGCGGAAACGGCGCGCGGCGTGGAGACGTGCGATGTCCCATGACGGTTGCGCTTTGCCGGTTGCATTTGCTGATGCTGCGCCTGCATCTCTCCTTGGCGCTCGCTTCGCACCTGTAGCAGCTGTCGCTCCGCGGATGCCAGTTCCGTGTTGAGCGCCGTCACCTCCTCGTGGCGCTCCTTCCGTGCCCCCCTAAGGGCGCTCTGTAGCGCGTGCAGCTTTGTGCGCAGGTCGCGCTCCTCCTCTGCCCACGCAAGGCTCTCCTGCTGCAGCACGGCCTCCACATCTTCCCGCTCCTGCAGCTGCTGCTCCTCACGTTGTATTTCCTTCACAGTGTCGTGCATTGACTCGTAGTTGTCCAGAGTCTGAACGTACGCCTCCTCCGCACGCGCCTTTTGCTGCAGGGTTTTTTGACATCCATCCTCCAGCTCCTGCGCCTGAGCCTCAACCTCCTCCAACCGCTTCAGCATCTCCTGCTTCTCCCGCTGCACGAGCCTGTCATAGCGGGATATGTCCTGCTTGAGCTCCTTGCGTCGGTTCAGAAGGGCGCCAATGTCCTCCTGCACTACGCTGATTTCCGTCTCCGCCTCCACCACGCGGTCGCGCCACTGTGTCAGGAGCCCCTCAGACATGACGACCACAAAAGCCGCGAATGAAATATACGCAGGTGTGCGGGTGTGTGGGCGTGTGTGTCTGCGTCTGCAATCCCGCCTCTTTCTCCTTGACTCAGGCACGAAGAAGCCGATGCTTAACTTATCGTGTGTGCTTCACTCTAACAAAACCCGCCCTCACCCCTTGCACAAGCCACAGACACGTCGGGAGACTAACAAAAAAAATATCATGCAAGCGCGCAGAAAACACATCCCATAAACCGCGGTGGAGAAAATAAATTGACAGCAGGAACGTGCCCATATCCCCACAAAACAAAACACCCACTTGCACGACGCGTGTCTATTAATGGATTGTTATCACGAATTTCCGTTTTAGATCTGTTCATGTCGTCGTCACCGCCCTTTCGCGTGCGGACGACTACTTACAAACAAAAATAAAACAAAACGTCAGCAAACACGGCGCCACCGCACTGCCAGAAGCAAACAAATAAACATCCGCAAAACGAAGATTTCACATCATTCAAAAACACGACCCCAATACCCTCCTAAATTCAATGGTGCACGCGCTCACGCACCGGGTGTAGACTACATGGCGGCGGCCAGACGGCCGTAAATGTCTTTAGAAACGCTCGTGTGCATGTCGCGATCCACGCGGGCCCGGCGGAAGGCATTCACGCTCTTCACTGTAAGGTGGTGCTCCCGCACCTGCTGCCACATGGCTTGTGCCAACAAGCGCCGCCCAAACTGCAGATCAAGGCCAGCGCCTTGCCGCGTCGCATGCACCTCCACGTCGGTTGTCAGTTTCATCGCCACACGCCGTGCCTCAGGATCCATGTCCTTTATCTCCGCCTCCACCTCTGGCAGCTGCGGCTCCTCCAGTGGCACAAGGCGTGAGACCACCCCAAACACAAGAGTTAAAAGCGACAAGGCCACGCACCCAAACCACTGATACCCCCGCAGCGGGACAACCTGTATAAGGCTTCCAAGCATCTCCACTGCGAACACCTGGAATAGAAAACAACCAACAACAATAACTACAAACGTTTTAGAGCGCTCCCACAACCCCTCAAAACAATTCAACTCTTCATATAGCTTCCGGGCATTGAACATATGGAAAATAACCGAAAGCAAAAAAACGTTAAACACAAGTGTGCCGTGGGCACGACTGCCCTCTGCTCCTGCAACATCAAACCATGACGCGCCAAAACGCTCCATCAGCAAAGTGATAAGTGTTTGGTAGCCGGCGATGGTACAGATGGTACACCACATGCGGCGTGACACGAGCGGCGCTCTGCGAAGAACAGGGCCACGGCCCAGGCATGCCTCTGACGGCTCCTCCGTCGCGAGTGCGAGCGCCGCCAGCGTGTCCATTATCAGGTTCACCCACAGCAGCTGCACAGTGCTCAGCGGGGAGGTGTGCGTGGAGGACAAAAACGACCCAAAAAACGTCAGCACAACGCTCGAAAAATTCACCGTCAACTGCAGCTGCAGAAACTTGCGAATGTTGTCGTTGACCGTCCGTCCCCACACGACAGCACGCTGCACGGAACGAAAGTTGTCGTCCAGCAGCACAATGTCCGACGACTTCACGGCAATATCCGTCCCACTTCGCATCACGAAGCCGACGCTCGCCAGCCGCAGCGCAGGCGCATCGTTCGTCCC